CCTGCTCTGCTCTCTATAGAGCGTCGATCAACCTCTACGGTCTCAGGAAAGATGCTGAGCTGGTTGGTAAGCACCTCGGGCAGTACAATGTTTGGCTTGGGACACCGTTCTCCGTGGAACAAGGAGTACCAGTTTTCAATCCGCATGCTGAGCGCCGGCGAGCTCAGGCGGCCTCCTTCTTGCCATCAATAGCTGCGAGGGGCCGTGCGGGTGTCAGCTATGAAGTTCGCACCGCGGAAGAGGTCAATGATGCAGTCATGAAGATGTTCGATCAGCTTCAGAGCGCGCAGAATCTTCCTGAAGTGGAGCCCCCGGACTCGGTGTCGACCCCTCTCCTCCGCCATCAAAAGCAGGCTCTATGGTTCATGACTGAGAAAGAGAAGCCACGCAAATTCGGTCCCAAAGAGGAGGATAACAATTCCCTTTGGAGGATAGAGTATCGCGCGAATGGAGTAAAGCGGTATCGTGAAATCATCAGCGGCACCGTCCTCGACGAAGAGCCGCCTCAGAGCTTAGGAGGCTTATTAGCAGATATGATGGGCCTTGGAAAAACTTTGAGCATTCTTTCGCTCGTTGTTTCCTCTTTGCCCCAGGCTCATGACTGGGCGAGGAAAATACCGGAGCCAGACCTTGTGCGAAGCCTACCTGGTATTCGCAACTGCAAGACCACTCTTTTAGTCGTTCCTCTCAGCACTGTCAGCAACTGGGTTTCGCAGATAAAAGAGCATTTGAAGGAAAACGCCATCTCATACTACGTGTTTCACGGCTCCTCCAGGACCAGCGATGTGGACGAACTGTCCAGCTACGATGTGGTGATCACAACCTACAGCATTGTGCTATCCGAGCTGTCTCAGAGAGGATCCAAGCGAGGCGTAAGTCCTTTGACGAAGATGAATCTGTTTCGCATTGTTTTGGACGAGGCGCACACAATCCGAGAGCAAAGTGCTGCCCAGACACAGGCAATATTCAAGCTAAACTCTCAGCGCCGCTGGTCCGTGACCGGTACGCCCATCCAGAACCGCCTTGAAGACCTTCTCTCCGTCACCAAGTTTCTTGGGTTGTTCCCCTACGATGATCGAGCCCGGTTTGGCATGCATATTCTTAGCCGATTCAAGACTGGTGACGCGACAGTTCTTGCAAGCTTGCGTGTGCTCGTGGACTCCTTTACTCTACGTCGGGTCAAAGATAAGATCGACATTCCTCCTCGACATGACAAGATTATCACGCTAGAGTTCTCTGAAAAGGAGAAGCAGCTGCATGAATTCTTCCGGAAAGAGTCAAATGTCATGATGAGGGTGATTGCAGGAGAGGACAAGACGAAGATGAAAGGAAGAATGTACCATCATATTCTCAAAGCAATGATGATTTTGCGACAAATCAGTGCACACGGGAAAGAGCTTCTCGACAACGATGATCGTCAGCGGATCAAAGGAATCAGCGTGCAAGACGCAATTGATCTCGAAGAAGGAACGGGCGAATCTGCCGCGGTGATTGACAGGAAGGCGTACGAGATGTTCAATCTGATGCAGGAATCGTCAGCCGATGCGTGTGCCACCTGTGGCAAGCGCTTGGAAGAGCCCGGATCAGACACTGGTGTGACGGATCCGAAAGCTCCAATGGCGATCGTGCTACCATGCTTTGACGTCCTGTGCCTCGATTGCTTCTCTGGGTGGAAACAAGTTTTTGATGGTCAAGTCGAACCTACGAATACAATGAAATGCCTGGTTTGTGACGGTTGGATTCCTGTTTCGTATTCGACCATCACCGCCGAAGGACTTCAGGAGTACTTGACGGAGCACGAACAAGCGAAGCAGAGCCGAAGGCAATCCAAAACTCTTGGCGAGTATGAAGGGCCACATACGAAGACCAAGGCGCTTTTAGCTCATCTCGCGGAATCTGCAGAGGAGAGCAAGAGACTAAGCATTGAGCCCCCTATCAAGAGCGTGGTATTCTCGGCCTGGACCTCTCATCTTGACTTGATCGAGATTGCGTTGAAAGATCATGGCATGACGGGATTCACCCGCTTAGACGGGACAATGTCGCTCGCAGCTCGTAACAGAGCTCTAGAGGACTTCCACGCCAACGACAACACCACTATCTTGCTAGCCACGATCGGTGCTGGCGGTGTCGGATTGAACCTGACATCTGCTTCGAAAGTGTATGTCATGGAACCTCAATATAATCCTGCAGCTGTGGCCCAGGCAATCGATCGGGTGCACCGACTGGGTCAAACGCGCGAAGTGACCACAGTTCAATTTATCATGAAGGGAAGTATAGAGGAGAAGATCTTCGAGCTTGCCAAGAAGAAGCAACAGTTGGCAGACATGAGCATGAATCGAGGCAAGCTTGACAAGAAAGACGTTCAGGAGCAGCGGATGAGAGAATATAGAACTCTCTTCAAATGATGTTCTTTCTTTTGTGATTTGCAGTTTCATTTTTCCCTAATTTATCTTCACTCGGACAGCATGGAGGGATGGATTTTGATACCCGAACATTTGATTTTGGCGTTGGACCGGTTTCCCTGGGCTTCGTTTCATATTTCTTTTTCTGCGGTCTTTCAGCTCTTTGCATTTTCTATCTTCCTGAGTTTTGCATCTGCGCCATGGAAAGGAAGCTACACACCACTCTGCAGACGCATAGACGTGTCACCCTGAGGGAAGGGTATACAGGACGCTACACAAGACGGCTGGACGCGAGTCCACATTTCATAGTAATGGACATTTTCTGATTCAGTGCTGGGGTTCCTTATGCGTATACCCTGGACGGACTGGCGCGGGATCATAAAGACATGCACTTTTTTGATATGCTAGCATTTAATCATACATCCTATCATAACGATACAGGTACACCTTTGAGTATGGCGTATTGAGCACTCCAGAGGGGCTTTCCTAATGTTGTCCGCCCAGCGTGGAATAGGCCAGCGACAGCAAGAAATCAAGAATATCTCTCAAGTAGCGCCCGATCTCCATATATCCCCGTCTCAATCGTACTAAGCACATTCTCCAACGTCCTCCTCGACCTCTTCAACTCCATCATCTTCGATTCCCGCTCCTCCTCAACCCGCCTCAACTCCCTCTCCAACTCCCGAATACGCTTCTCCTGCTCCGCCTCGGAACTGTCAATCCCCGGCAGTACCGATATCAGATACTCGATCTGCTGTTCCTTGATGATGAGATCCCGCGCTAGCTCCCGCTGCCGACTCGCAAACGTCCGCGGGCTGTCCGGCGCCGGCAGCAGGTTCGGGTCCGCCCCCGCGCCTGCCGCAGGGCCAGGCGTCTGGCCGCCATCGCCTACGCTTGTGCCTGCGCCTGCGGCGCCATGCGCGGGATTCTGGGCTGGAGGGGAGGCCTGGGACTGCGCGGGCACCGGTGCGCCGGCTGGGACTGGGGGCGCGGTGGAGTTCTTGGGGATTTTGGCGAGGGCTGGGGCGGCGTCTGGGACGTCCGTGGGTGGGATTGCGGGGGAGTTGTCGTGGTAGGTGCTTAGGTAGCCTATTGTGGCGTAGAATTGGGTTGCGAGCTGTGAGGTGAGAGTAGGGTCAGCTCGGTGGTTTTGGAGGGGTGGGGGTGGATGGGTGAGGTACCTGGTCTAGGCAGGTTTGGAGTTGGGTTAGGATGTCGGCCATTTTGGCGGTTGGTGCGTAATGAGTAATTGCACTGAGGTGTAAGTAGGTGAGTAGGAGCGTCTCAGCGAGATTGAGAAGATAGTTGGAGAATGAGCGTGATGCGGAGAAACCAAAGCGGTGATGCGGTCAGAAGTAGAACGGAGATGGTTTCCTCTAGCTTCGCCAGCACAAGTCAATCAAAAATCAACCGTCGGCATGACTTGATATGAATCGGATCCATCTTCTCACCAGACTCTTCCGGCGCAATTTCTCAGCCAGTCCAATTCATCGCCAGCTCGACCCCTTCACTCGCCGGCTTTTCAAGCTCCCCTCTCCTCCCCCATCGCCGTCGCAGCACCACAATGACCTCGCATCTTTCCTCGCCTACGCAGAGCGGACCTCTCTCCCCACCACAAGCACAACCTACATAGGCACACACTACGAATACACAGTCCAGCAAACCCTCCGGCGCTTCGCCTTCTCCCTCCACCGAGTCGGCGGCCGCGCCGATGCCGGCATCGACCTCGTAGGCACCTGGCATCTCCCGCAACACGAACACCCGCTGCGTGTCTTCGTGCAATGCAAGGCCCTCAAGACCAAACTGGGGCCGAATCTCGTCCGGGAGCTCGAGGGAACGTTCCGCCAGTCGCCTGTGGGATGGCGCACGGGGACAAAGATTGGAGTTTTGGTTGGCCCTCGTGAGGCGACGAAGGGCGTTCGGGATGCGATGGCGCGAAGTGCGTACCCGCTTCTGTGGATGATGGTTGAGCAGGACGGGGAGTTGCAGCAGGCGCTGTGGAATAGTCGCGCTGAGGAGCTGGGTTTGGGTGCGTTGGGGGTGGAGATGGTCTATGGGGGTGCGTCGGGCAGGAGGATTAGTTTGACCTGGGATGGGACTGAATTGCCTTCTATGGACCAGGTTGAGGAACTGATGATGCAGCGGCAGGTTGAGTGGCTACGACTGTGGGATGCGGACTCTGAGATGTCGACGGCGCGTAGAGCAGAATTATTGGATCTTGTACAGCAGCTGTATCCTGATGAGAAGCCGCTCTTGTTAGGGGCTGGTACGTGCACTACTTTGGCCGAGGCAGATAGGACCAAGGTCCTGCAGCAGCTGCGCAACAGGTTACAAACGCCTGCGGAGGACAGTGAAAATTCAGCATGATCTCAAGTCTGACGGTCTAGTCACTGGCCGCGGTTTAGAATCATAAAAACTGTATATCGGATTGACGAGTACACGAATCCCTGGGTATATCAAGCGACAGAAGGCAAAATGCAGAAATCAAAATCACAAGCATCGCGTCATTATATCCCACAACTCCGAAACTGTTACGCCTGAGATCCACCTGCGGGAATCCTCTCAAAGCACCAAACGCTGTAACCAAATTGCACAACATCAACCCTGTATGGTTGACCAAAAGTAATTGGCATAGAAGAAACGCGAGAACTTGGGGTCCATATTGACCACATGAACGTCTCCCTTGCGACTGTTGCGAATAACAGCCTTGCCGAAGTTCCCGGCGTCGTCCGCCTCGATATCAATGCCCAAAGACCGGAAAATCTTGAGGCGAAGTCTGTCACATAATCGGTCAGTACCGTCCAGTAAAGATAACGAAGCACCACCCACATAGTCGCATCATCGGCCTCCCTCTCTCTCCGCGTAGTTTCATCGCCCTCGAGTCCCTGCGCTTCTAGCTCGGCCAGTCTTTCCTTGAGCATTTCCAGCTCGCCTTCCAGCCTCTCGCTCTCAATCTCAAGTTCTGTTGCGGCCTTGGCGATCCGGAATTTCTTCGTATCGAGCTCAACCATCTGCGCGGCGTGCTTCGCCGAGTCGTGCGCGGACACGGCTTCCTCATGTTGCGCGTTCAGGGCGTGCAGGTTGCGAGAGAGTTTACGGAGCGCCGACTCGGCATCGCGCATGCGGAGCTCGCGAGATTGTTGCAAGGTAGATAGCGAGTCATTGATGCGCGTGACGGCCTGTTTGTCGGGTTGGATATTGAAGTTGCCGATGGTGTGGTGGATGAGCTGTGTCTGTTAGTCTCAGTCTGGAGAGAAACATGTACTAAGACATACTGTCGCGGGATCCTCGTCGAGCAACATTTTGTAGATGGAGACAAGGTCACAGCCGGTCGTTTTGTTCTTTTGAATTGTCTTGATGTATTACCAGAGGGAAGACTGTTGATGGTTCCCGTTGGGGGAGCAACAGCCACAGCGCCACACGTTTGCTGACACAGCCACATGTTGGTGGGTGACGAAACATTGTGATGGCCTGCTTGATGGAGAGGGACTAGACTAGATGCTTCTTTACTCAGTTGAAAATCATCTCTCAGTTGAAGTTTCTGTTCTGCTGTTATAGCAATATACCCAGTTTCTTAACTATAACCGGGTCTAACACTCTCACGAATATCGCTACACCATGATGGGATCCAACCTACCATGTATGTCTTGTCCAGGCTACAGTCACTTTACCAAAGTATATCAAACTGACCACCTTCGCTTCCTTAGATGCTGCGGACGCTGAAAGGTTAGCAATATCCGGCTCTCGAACGTCATGCCCTCGCTAAATTTACATGATTCCAGTCCGTTGAAACCAGCAGAGCTTCAAGTCCTGCGGGCCCAGTACGAGAAGGAGGGGGACTATGTTGGAATCCAGACGAAATTCAACTACGCATGGGTATGAGACTACTATTTCTGTTTATAGTCAACTGGCTGACAAGATAGGGCTTGATCAAATCCCACGCTCGGGCGGATCAACAAGAGGGAGTCCGTCTTCTATCAGAAATCTTCCGCGCATCCCCAGAGCGACGACGCGAATGTCTCTACTACTTGGCTTTGGGAAACTACAAGCTCGGAAACTACGGCGAAGCCCGGCGATACAATGATCTGCTCCTTGAGAAGGAGCCGGGGAACCTGCAAGCTGCCAGCCTCGGCTCGCTGATCGACGACAAGGTCTCCAAAGAGGGTCTGATGGGCATCGCCATCGTGGGAGGCCTGGCTCTGGCGGCTGGAGTAGTAGGCGGTCTTGTCTTCAAGGGTGCCGCAAAGAGACGGTGAATGGGGCTGGCTCTTGGTTTTGAAAGTCGTGTATATATCATGGTTCTCCTACTCGTTTGTCCAGGCTTTATTTAGCATATGAGGCGTTTGTCTGTTGTTTGAGCGCAGGACTACCGAGATATTTTTAATCCTTCAAGAGTTGCCGGGATGAATTACCTTATGTGTACAGTGCTATCTGAATCCAATCCAATCCAATAATCAGGTGTCTAGAATGTGAGGCGCTCAGCTCAGTGCGCCACTCGGTGAATCAGCAGTCAACGTCATCCGCCGCCGGACATCGGCCTGTTTGTTCGTCTGACGTGCTCCACTACCTCTTCTTCCTCGGCCTCATCATTTGCATTCCTTTGCTTTCATTTGCTCTTCTTCCATCAACCTTTACTATCAGGCCATTCTCATGGAGATAATGAATTGCTTCTCCTGGTGAAGAAAACAACATACTGCTGTCAATATGTTTCTGGATGATTCAGAAATCCTAAGGAATAAGACACGCGAGCTTCCAACTGTCTGACCTGCTGGTACTCTTTTCATCATTTCCACTACTTACTTAGTTACTTCCTCGGAATCTTCTCAGCATCAGTTAGACTCTTCTTTCTTCTCGTCTCATTCACCGTCATGGACAGCGTTGCTATGGCTGATGCGGGGGACCGCATGTTCTGCCATGCGTGTGGTGGAGTTTGGCTGAAAAATGCTGCTAATGGGTTGGACTGTCCTCACTGTCAGTCCGATTTTACAGAGATTGTACGCACCCCAGTTACTTGCTCTTTATCTTGAAATCGCTGCTAATATCGTGGATATCAGATTGAAATTCCGCCTGATACAGAAGACCCCTCCTCTCGACCCACGAATGACTCCCCACCCCGCGAAGAGAATAATCAGCCCAACGTCAACCCTTGGGCCGATCACAACCCTTGGGCGAATGAAGAGGACCATGGAGGAGACGACAACGCATGGCGGCCAGGGTTCTCGCGTCGTACATATAGGTCCCCCGATGGCCGGTTTACTTTCACAACTACCACAGCCACTTTAGGCGGAGGCGGCTTCCGCATTGGACGATCTACGGACCAAAGACAAATTCAGATAGACCCGTTGATGCCGGTGGTGCGGAGTTTGGATACTATTTTCCACGGGTTAGCCGACACCTACCGGCAAGGCCAGAATCAGAATCAAAACCAAAATCGGAACGCCACAGGTCAGGAAAATGAGACGGACGCCGACGAGCATCGTGCGCGGAGCGAATCGCCCGAATTCCGTGCCACTGGCAGGCTATTTGCGCGAGATGCAGATGGTCCGCAGCCGATGGCACCACCTTTGGGCACCCTAGGCGAGTACGTACCCATTTTTCCTCTCAGCTGTTCATTTGTCCATGGCTGACTTGCTTGATAGTATCCTCGAACTGTTTCGCGCCGACTTTGGGGGCGGTGTGGCAGGTGGAGGAGTGCGTGTGATGACTGGTCCGAATCCGCTGGCCATGCTTTCAACTCTGCTCAACTTTGATCGACACGGAGATGCGGTGTACTCGCAGGAGGAACTGGATCGGGTTATTTCGCAGTTGATCGACCAGAATATCAATCGGACAGGGGCTCCCCCGGCCCCGGAAAGCGCAATTCAGGCCCTGCCGAAGAAAAAGGTCGACGAGGAGATGCTAGGGAGCGATGGCAAGGCTGAGTGCTCGATTTGCATGGAGCAAGTCGAATTAGGCACAGAGGTCACGGTCTTGCCCTGCAAACACTGGTTTCATTATTCCTGCATTGAAGCCTGGTTAAGTCAACATAACACATGTCCCCATTGTCGCAGGGGGATCGATACCCGACAGTAAGTTCTTTTTTCGAAGGGTTTGTCAATAGTGATACTGACCGCTTCATAGGGCTGAAGGAACCTGTCAGGATCCAGTCATCATCAACGACAGTCCTGAACCTACATCTCCTGAGCGCCGTCGTAGTAATGGTCCAGCTCAGCATAGCGGACAGGCCGCTCCCACATGGGGTGAACATCCGTCGTGGAACACTTCAGAATCAAACCAGCATAATCAAGGACAATCCAGTCACAACGAAGGCAACGAACATAATCAAGGACAATCCGGTTACAACGAAGGTAGCGGCAGCGGAGGGTTTGCCGGATGGGTTAGGAGTCATTTTGGTGGCAGCTAATCGCTGCATTCATGAAGCATCCGACTTTGGGTTGAGTCTTTATAGGCTACGGCTTCCTGGGTACATTGCGCCTCACTGGTCATTATTTTTCTTATTCTTATCCTGGGCTTGATTAGCATGAGCATGAGATGAGCATGAGCCCATATGTTGATGTAAATAACGAATCCAGCATTGCTGAATATATCCTCAGCACAATCCAATACCACCAGAATGTCTATTGCCGCAAGCAAACCCAGCATCACATCTCAATCGATCTTTGAACTGAACAGACGTAGGAACAATTCCAACCCTTGAATTAGGTGTCTCCAAATTTATTCTCCACAACACAAAGCTCCACTGTCCGCCCCGCCCGCCACGCCTTGTGCAAGACATAGCTTGGACATAGCTCCTAGTAGACTATATATACGAGCGTCTTTCTTTCACATATTCCTTTTATTCATTAATGTAATTATCCCCATCATTCCCACAGAATGAAAACCGTCTTCACCAATGGCCTCATTGTCCGAGGCAACGGGAGCTCACAATCCGAGCCTGTCCTGGGTTGCATGGTCGTCGAGGACGACAAGGTCGCATACATAGGCGCTGAGAACGACTCGCCCGTCGCACAAGCCAAACAAGCACCAGGCGTCGAGGTTGTAGACCTGCACCGGCGAACCGTCATCCCGGGGTTCATTGATGGGTATGTCATGTCTACCCTTGCACATCCTCATCTACTATATGAATGCGACGCTTCGCTCCGCTCCGCAACTAACAAACGACAGACACATGCACCTCCTCCTCTTCGGCGCGGGGCTCTCCAAAATCGACCTCGGGCACTGCAAATCCCTCTCCGACATCCGCGATACCATCAAGACCGCCGCCGCGCAGCGCCCGCACGCCCCCCGCCTCTTCTGCCGCGGCTGGATGCACGCCATGACAGACGGCCAGGCGCTGGCCAGCATGCTCGACGACCTCGACCCGCGGCCTATCTTCATCGACTCGAAGGACCTGCACAGCGCGTGGTGCAATACCGCCGCGCTGCGCGAGCTCGGCGTCGCGGACACGCCCGATCCCGCGGGCGGGGTCATCCACCGCGCCCCGGACGGCACGCCTAGCGGGTTACTTTCCGAGGCGGCGGCGGTGAATATCGTGTGGCCGCATGTGGCGCGGGTAGCGACGGCGGAGGAGAAGATGGGGTTTGTGCGGAGTGCGGTGGCCGCGTACAATGCGGCGGGGTATACGGGGGTGGTGGAGATGGCGACGGACGAGAACGTGTGGGGGACGATGCTGGCGCTGCGGGAGAGGGAGCAGGTGCCGCTGCGGCTGGCGGCGCATTGGATCATCACGCCGGCGGCGACGGTGGACGAGTGTCTGGCGCAGGTGGACCGCGCGATCGAGCTGCATGGCGTGTACAATGCGCGCTCATCGCCGGATTTCCGCATCGCGGGGATCAAGGTGATTTGCGACGGGGTGGTGGATGCGTGCACGGCCGCGCTGCTGCAGCCGTATGCTGCGCAAACTGCTGATACTGAGGGTCAAGTGAACTGCGAGCCGCTGTGGCCGGCCGACATGCTGCGGGCCGTAGTGGCCAAGGCGGACGCGGCGGGCCTGCAGTGCGCGCTGCATGCGATCGGCGATGCGACGGTGCGGCTGGCGATTGATACGCTGGCGGCGGTGGGCACGCCCGGCCGACGGCATCGCATCGAGCATCTGGAGCTGACGGCGCCCGAGGACGCGGCGCGGCTGGGCCAGCTGGGGATCACGGCCTCGGTGCAGCCGGTGCATGCGGACCCGGCCATCCTGCGCGCGTGGCCGCGGCTGCTGGGCGAGGAGCGGTGCGCACGCGCGTTTGCGTATGCCGAGTTTGCGGCCCACGCGGCGCCGCTGGCCATTGGGACGGACTCGCCGACGGCGCCGCAT